TAATTACTTCAAACATCAAACCCTTTCTTTCTTGGTCGTGGTTCTATACCCACCAAAGAGTCATTAACATGGGTTCTCAACCTGCCCCCTCCTTCTCACGCAGATACGCAAAACTGATGAGACAGACGCCGGAAAAAGACACTCCAGATCACATTCCTTTGTGGGAACAAGAAATGTTGTCTCTTAAACTTGCCTACTACCTTGTTTAATTAGTTCTCTCCACTTCAATTTGAGTTATTCTCTAAATACTATGTTTGAAAGCTAAAAGAATCATAAGGGAAGTAAGGTTTCTACTTTCTCCCTATTATCCTGTACCGATCACTGTCTGTTTTGTTTTATACTAATGCCATGCTTCAACACCTTTTTATATATTTTCTTGTTAAAGAACACGTGATATTATCATTAACCCTGTTAACCGATCCTGAAATCCTGAAAATGTGTTTTAACTGGTAACCATTCTAATCATTACAATGATTAATTAATTGTTTTCCCTCATTTTATCAAATGCTTAAACTAAAAACAGTATAACTGTTTATGACATTTAAGGTGATTATGGGAAGGTATTTGATTTACAATACACGCAAAAAAACATATTAGAGTTAAGACACAGTCCCAGAGGAGACCGGAAGCCCTCCCTCAGGGGAAACAAAGCCCTACTGGGATACGCCCCAAATAACAAAAGCACAGAGCCAAGCACACGCTTCTCTTGTCTTCTTCCTCGGTACCTCTTCAGCAGCTGTTGGAACACGCTCAGCGTGCCCCATCTCCCAGCAACGTCCTAAGGAGTTTTGGCCGGCATTGTACGTGAAATTTTCTGTCTTTCAGCAGTACTTAGCCATATTTACGCGAACCTTCGTTGAATTTACTTCGTTTTGTTTGTAAAGTTAGCAGACCGTTTCAGTTGCGCAACTCTGAGTTCAAGAATGACCAAGTTCTTTTAAGCTTTATTTTAGTCGAATTAACTCATACTGCTCCCACTGAAGTTCGGACCCAGCCACGTGACCCCGTTACGCCAGCAGTAACAAAAGGACATCAAACCAGAACAGAGCAAGTGTTTTTCTTCATCCAGACAAAGCGGAAGAACCCCCAGAAAAATCCCTAGCACAAAGCCAGGAATTGGGCAGCTAGCGTGGAGCCCGCTCGACCAGCCCACGGCTGACAACACCCAGTTACGTAGAACCAACCCTGCATTCTGTGATCAGTTAGTGATCCGTTAGTCTAATCCTTAGACAAACTCCTAACCAAATTTAACTGAATTATTATCATAACGTGCGCTTATTAGTTATCTTGCTCCTTATGAATCAAATTCTTCCCCACAATAAAAAAACTCAATTTACCTTGAACCCCATCATTCTCATTGTTTGCATTCTGTTTGTTTAATGTTAGTCATTGTTTATTTCTTTGATGTATATATTTTTTTATTTTTTATTTTTATTTTATTTATGCAGATTTTGATATACACAGGCACACAAAACAAACTCAAAAGACAGAAAATCACATGGGTAAACAAAAAAGTGAAACTTAAGAAATAAAAAGATACCCTCACACAAACAAACAAACAACAACAAAAAACAGCCAGCACTTACTGATTATTTAAAAAAAGTATATCAATACACTGAACGGATGACCCAGAAAGTCCACTCACAGAGATTAAGTCGAAGAGGCCTGAGCCGGGGGGGAATGGAGTCTCAGCATGGATAACTAACAAACAAACAAAAAAAGAGAACAAAATGCAAATGCAGTGCATCTAGGTCCCAGTTTGTGAACTATCCTTCCTGATGTATTCTATGAAGGGGCCCCAGATCTTTTTAAACTTATCCTGGGAGTTGGACATAGAAAACCGAACTTCGTCTAGGTGTAAACAGGAAACCATATCATTTAGCCAACTCCTGAAGCAAGGAGGGGCTGACTTCCATTCCTTTAGGATGACCCTTTTTGCAATGACCATACCAAACATGAGGGCTTGTTGTAAAGCGGATGGAAGAGCTAAGGAACCATGGGAGCAGCCCAGTATCACTAAGAGACAGTCAGGGACCAGTTGTTTATCATAAACAGCGCCGTACAGACTGAAAATGTCATCCCAGAACCTTGTGAGCTTAGAACAGGGCCAGAAAAGATGCCCAAGAGTTCCATCAGCTGATTTGCATTCATCACAAGTGGGGGAGAGAGCAGGAAAAATTGTATTCAGTCTAGTCTTGGAATAGTGCAGCCTATGAACTACTTTAAACTGAATGAGCTGAAGTCGAGCATTAATAGAACATGCTTTTATCTTATTCAACCCTTTCGCCCATAGCTCGTCAGAGATTGTTTCACCGGTGTCCCTGATCCACGCCGCCATAATATGGAGAGAGGGTTGCCGTAGTGAAGACCTTGACAAACCGAGAGATCAAATGTTTGGAGCTGGGAGGTCTGGTCATAACATCATAAAAGTCATGTTGCATGGGGGTCGCATCTAGGCGAGGGGAAGATTGCTTAACAAAGTTCCTAATTTGTAAATAACGAAAAAATTGATTGGTAGGGAGTTTGAACTTGGCCTGGAGATGGGCTTGGCCTGGAGATGGGCTGGAGATGGGCGAAAGATGCAAAATGAATATCAATGTAGAGATCCCTAATAGTAGTTAAACCTTTATCTGACCAGTGCTTAAAGACAGCGTCCATCAAACCAGGCTTAAAACAGGGGTTCTGACATATGGGAGCATGAATTGACATTTTTGGGAGGTTCAGAATTCCCTTGATTTGGTTTAAGATTTTAATTGAGTTGCAGAGAAAGAAATTACTGCGTAGTGATTTAATTTTAATATCAGGTTTTGAGAACAGAATGGCTGACAAGGAGGCCCCAGTAAGTGATACGGCATTGCCAAGCTCAACCTCAGGCCATCTAGGCCCACCCACCTCTGCACCCCCAGCCGTGGACTGATTCCAGAAGACCCAAGCTCTGGCGTTACAGGCCCAGTAATAATGCCGAAAGACGGGCAGGCCTAAACCACCCTCCTCAGTGGGCTTCTGTAAGTGGGCCTTTGAAATACGGGGGGGCTTGGAGGCCCAAATGAAAGGCATGATAATAGAGTCTAACATCTTAAAAAAGTGAAGAGGATGGGCATGTTTTGAAATAGATAAATAAATTTAGCGAGCACAACCATTTTGACAATATTGACACATCCAAACAATGAGCCTGTTAATCACATCCATATAGTTATATTTAAAAAGAAGCTTCGGATTTCTGGGGATATTAATCCCCAGGTAAGAAAAGCGGTCAGGGGTAACTCTGAAGGGCAAATTAGGAAGAAAACTAAAAACAGATTTCTCCGAATTTATAGTAAACCCAGAGAGTCGCACAAAGCCATCCAACAGATTAAGTTAATTTTACATCCATAACAGTCAAAAATACATCATCTGCATACAGGCTGATGGTGTATTCGGACGTGCTGCACCTTATGCCAGAGATTTGGGAGATGGCTCTGATGGCCATGGCCAGCGGCTCAAGAGCTAATGCAAAAAGCATTGGAGAGAGGTAGCAGCCCTGCCTGGTGCCACGGTGCAATGAGAACGGGGGGGATCTTTCATGGTTGGTTAGAACAGAAGATCGAGGCGAGCATAAAGCATTTTTAATATATTCATAAATTTTGACCCAAAGCCAAATTTATTAAGAGCAGCCAACATGTATCCCCACTCTACCTGATCGAAAGACTGCTGGGCATCTAGTGAGATCACAGCGGAGTGGGGGAATTTAGTTGAAGACATTAAATTTACATCATCTTGTATTTGAGAAGGAAAATCGATCGGGAATGAAACCTGATTGATCGGGATGAATTAATGTGCCAATTTATTTGTTTAACCTGTTGGTCAGGACTTTTGCAATAACTTTTTGATCAGAGTTAAGCAGACTTAGGGTACGATACGTAGAAACATTTGTTTCGTCTCTGTCCCTTTTTAAGAGGACACAGATATGGGCGTCGTAGAGGGTATGAGGGAAGGCACCATTTTTCACAGAGCAACTGATCATCCGAAGCAAGAGGGGGGCGATGACGTCAATGTGCGTCTTGTAAAATTCTATCCCAGATCCATCTGGACCACAGGCTTTGCCACTGGGAAAAGAACGAATAGCATTTCGGATCTCCTCGAGCGTAAAGTCAGAGTCCAATTCCAGCCTCGCAGGCTCAGATAGGACTGGAATGTCTAGAGAATTAAAGTATAGAGAAAATTGGCATTGTCGGTTTCCGTAGCAGTAGATCTGGAAGTATATAGCTGGCTGTAGAAACTAAAAAATCTGTCATTGATCTGCTTGTGATCAGTTATTAGCTGACCAGTGGATGAGGAAATTTTATGTATTGCCCTATCAGATATGGCGCCCTTCAGTTGCCTAGCAAGCAATTTATCGGCCTTTTCACCCAGCTCACAGTGATTCTGTTTTAGTCTACGAATACAGTTCAGCCTCAATATCAATGCGACGCCTGTGCCTGGCCCTTTTTCAAGACAACTGATATGAGATGATGTGTCCTTTTATAACTCCCACAAGGTAGAATCTGAGACAGCACCATTGTCGTTAATGAGCAGAAAATCTGCAATCTTAGTCGATATGCAGCCACTGAACATGTCATCTAAATATAGAGAGAAATTTCCAATTATATTGAGGGGTATAAAGATTGAAGTCAATCACCAGTGAGAGGGGTGCATGATCCAATATTAGGATACTATGATAAGTCAAGCTTATTACATCCAAAATAAGTCTAAAGTCAACCAGCATATAATCAATTCTTGTGAAACTGCCATGCACAGGGGAAAAGAAAGAAAATTTACTTTCTAGGGGGTGCTGGTGTCTCCAAATGTCAACCAGGTCCAGGGATTCGGTAAAGTTGTTGAGTACTGAGACAGATTTTAATAATGGGGCCACGGACGAAGAGGACCTATCCAACATCAAAATAACAATTAAAGTCGCCGCTGATTGTTAGGTTTTAGTAAGACTGAGGACCAGGGTGCGGACATAGAACACTCAAAGCCCATCAAAGTAAAGAGTTTATTCACAAAGGACTAGTACAAAATGGTAGTGGGTGAGATGTGAGCAGGGGCAGGCAGTCCTGGGCAGGGGCAATCCGCTCTCCTAGAGATCCTCCAAGCAGGGCAAATGACACCGGACTCGGCAACTAGAAAAAGGAGATAAACAAAAAACATTAATCTGGGTTCAGGCAGAGACACACTGGAAAAAGACTAAACGCTCAGGAAACAAGCTGGCCTGAAGTACTCAACCAAGTTATGGCTAGGAATAATCTGGCGACGAGTCTCAGGGAGCCCCACATCTTAAGACCAGGTGTAGATGAGGATTGGCAACAGGTGTGAAGCCTTGCCGGGCGACCAGCTCCCTGCCAAGGCAAAGACAAACCCACACACGCCCACAGACACAGGACCAACTGTGACAGCCGATAATTATATTATGATCATTATATTCCGTGACAAGGTTGAATACTTTACAGAAAAAATCAGGGCAATCGAAGTTGGGTGCATAAATGTTTAAGAGAACTAAAGGAACTGAGTTGACAGTACCTGTGACAAGTATGAACCTCCCTCCTGGATCGGTGGTCTGCGTTTTGAATACAAATGGGACGGCTCTGCGAACAAGAATGGCCACCCCCCTTGCCTTGGAGGAAAAGGTGGATTGGTACACCTGAGACACCCACACAGATCTTAAACGCCTCTGCTCTGAAGGTTGGATATGGGTCTCCTGCAAAAAACAATATCAGACAACAGGGACTTTAGATGCGAGAATACTTTACCTCATTTAAGGGCTCTGCCCATACCCCTACAATTCCCTGACCTAAGTGAGTAAGTGACATGGATCTATGTGGAGGGACAGATGGTAAAGTTTGACATGTGACATATAAAGGGCTGGCAGAACATCCAATGATAAAAATGACAGATAAGGAAAGACAAATAAAACCCCCACATAACCCAAACCCGCTAAGAACTAAGCGGTACAACCCACTAGCTAACAAGGAGGCTGCCGGGTAACAGAGCCAGCCAAACTGCACACTAAAAATCACACTTACCACGGGGCCCCGTGCGCATCTCCAATACAGACTAATGTTTAAACTGGACTCAAAAGGAGGTACTCAGTGTAAGCGATATACAGAACACATGCTTGGTGAGGTATAACAGGTAGAAGGGTATAAACAGTGCAGCATGTAAAATATCAAAGTTAAGAAAATAAAGATAAAATACAATAGAAAAAATGTGTATCCATGAAAGGATAAACGCTTAAATAAATAACCGGGATTATCAATCAATACTAATACAAAAAGAAGGTAATAAATAAAATTGTCCCAGTACTAGGTTTACGAACCAGAAAGCACACACTGTGTGAGATGCTATTGAAACACATGCAATATGTTGCATCGGTGATCAGCTAAAAATAAGTGTCAGATCTGAACATTTATCAAAACGCTGGATAGGAAAATAACTTGTCCGAGATTATATATATGTATGTACATATATATATATATACACCCACACAATAAGTGATATATAATATATAGGAGTTAAGAGTCATTTGCTGGGCCTAAAGAGTTGGCAAACTGTTCAGCTTCGGCCGGTGACACAAACATCTTCGGTGTGTTGTTGTAGTCAACATGGAGCTTGGCTGGAAAGCGCAGGGAACATTTAGCACCAGCTTCGGTCAGCCGCTTCCTCACGTTTGTAAAGGCCTGTCGCTGTGCTGAGACCTCCGCCGTGTAGTCGGGGAAAATGGAGACTCTCTCACCGTGGTAGAGCTTGTTGATGGCTGAGTCGTAGTATTTCGATCACATCCCGGTCGTTGTGGACCTTGGCAATGATGAGCCGCGGCCATTCATTATGGTGGGGCTTCGGTCTCAGGCTCGGTGGGCCCGGTCTATTTTAACGGGTCTGCTAAAGTTGTCATGGCTGAATAGCTCTGGGATCAGCTTAGAAACAAAATCAGTAGCGGCCCTCCAAATCGTTCAGCTTGGCTCTGAGGAGACCACCTGTAGCTCGTTGCACGTAGCTTGCAATGCTGTCATGCGGCTGTCGTTAGCTGACATGACTTCGTCGAAGTCATCAAAGCGGAGCTCAGTTTCATGTTTTTTCTTCTGAAGCGATGATAGCGTCGTTTCAACTGCGTCAAGGCGGCCCTCCAAAGATTTCTTAAGCCATCCACGATTGAGGTGATTTTCACAAGCTCTGCCCCATGGCTAGCGATACCTGCTAGTATAGCATTGTTGCTAGCCGTCGATGAACTCGTCTTGGATGTATCCCTCTAAATATCGTCTTTCTTAGGCATGTTGATATGAACCCACCTCCGACAGGCTACAGCACTGTTTAATGAGCAACACAGCGTAAAATAATGTTGAAGTGCAATGCCCCCTATTTGATGTATATTTAACCGCATTTTTATTCACCTTTAGTTAGCTAATAAATTTCACTTAAATCACAGGAACTGTGTGTGTATTGTTTAACTCCAGGTGACTGTAACGGAGGATTTACGCCTTTGATATGAGATTGCTACGTTGCAGCAACATAAGGAAGGCTAACCCTACCTGTTAGCACGTGCGCAGCTGTAGGGTTAGCCGGTCGACATGCATAAAGTCAGTGACTTAGGTTTAGGTACTAACATTTCTGATGGTTATGGTAAGGGTAGGGGCTTCGGGGGGCTGTCAACACCTTTATCACAAACGTAGCTAGCTAGCTAGCACTTCCGGTCTGTACGGGACGCCCCAGAGCGTCTCATAGAGACGCTTCCGGAAGTAAGTAAGTAAGTAAACTTTATTTACATAGCACCCTTCACAGACAAGAGGGGTCACAAAGTGCTTCACAGTAAAAAATAGAATAAAATAAAACAAATAACAACAACAACACTTAAAATACCGAACTATATGGGAGTGATTCTCTGAGATGGGTGCCTTTTGGGTCATAACTTTTTTTAATACCTCAAATAGTGATATTTCTGATCATTTCATGTGATAGTGGATTAGTCAAACCTTTCAGAAAATACATTTTCCCACCTCAGGCATGAAATTCTAATCGTTATTGAGTGTTTTTTCTTACTGAAAGTTGTTTTGGAGTTTAGCCCCGTCACAGACCACTTGGACCCTGTGTAAATATGATTTAACAGGATTTTCAAGTAAATTCTTGTAGAAGCTTTTTAATGAGATGTCCCTTGTTTGATATCATTTATTGCATGTAGAATTTTATTTTTAAATACTCACCATTTTCAATACCAAATCAGGTCATGAAAACCGTATCTAACATTGGTCTTCAAATCTTATCACAAAATATGCATTAACATTAGGATTTAATCAGGCTTTCATATTTATTCCGACTGTCCTGTAAATTCTACACACAGCAAAACAAACATTGACCTAATTTGTCTTCTTATCACGAAAATATTTAATAAAAACTATCAAATAACAGGGTTGACAATGATAACAGGGTTGAAAATGATGATCATTATTTCAATATAGTATGGATTTCTTACCTGTAAAATTAATGATATCACATTCAATAAAATTTTCTTTTATTGAAGTTGGCAAAAACAAACTATTTAATGTTAAAGTATTTAACATTAAATCAAAAACATTAAGCATTAATTCATCACAAACATCAATCGATCTTTCCATTTGGTTCAAAATGGGATCACATTTTGATTAAAATTTGTATTTAGTGCTTTAACATTGAACTTTAAAAACAGGACTGTAAGATGTCCATTAATTCATTCTTTATTCAGAAAGCCTGGCCCAAACATCTTTTTGAATTTCCATGTGCCGTGATGTCACTGGCTTAGGAGGTGGGATGAGGCACATCATCAAAAACATACCAAAGCACATCCTCACGAGCAGGCCAAAAGAACCTGTTTGGCCCGACACGGTGCATGCATTTTACTTGCACATGCGTTTCATCCATCGCAAGTATTATTCCTGGGAACAAATCTTTATCATATGTGAGCACACACCACTGCCCTAGCACCTCTGGGTCTTCCCAATGGATTTGTGTCTGCCTCCGTGACACAGCATCTGGCACCTTCTTAACAAAGCTGAAATGAATTATGTTCACTCGCATTGTAACTGCTTCTGGGTCGAGCACATACAGCTGACATCACGAGACAGTATCTCTCCTGGAGCAAGAGTTACCACCTGATGTATCCTCATGGTAGCTGGGACTGCTGGTAGGTTTGATGGCATCCTCTCAAGTGCCTGCTCAACAGTATCACCATTGACAAAGAACAACTTGATCGATGTGTTGGTCTCCAAAAGGGCCTCGAAGAGCTCATGTGCATCTTGGATGTCCCGGCCATGGCTTATTAGCATGTCAGCAGTCCTCTTCAAGGCTGCTCCAACACCATCTGGTGCTCCTTTGCCATGGCTGGCCCTGCCTTAATACCTCTTTTCTCCAGCTCAGTGCTAAAAAGGAAAAAATTGCCCTTCTGCTTGTACTGGGTACAAGGCCCATCACTAAAAAAGTGTATCACAGAGACCTCTGGGTGTGTTGCCTGCACATAATCCAATACAGGGTTCAGATGCTCCCAAATAGCTGCTGGGCTTTTGTGCTTTGATGGGGATATTGTGCTGAAGCAGGTCGGTTCCCCTTCGAGGGAACTCGAACTGTGTCGGTGACGACACTATGGGAACGCCTCTGGGCGTGGCAGGGCTGAACTATGAATGAAACTACTCCAATCCTATTGGTGTTACTAGAACGGTAGTGTGTGACGGCGTAACCGGAGGGGGTATATAAGCACGCCGGCACATAGGATACATTAGCTTCTTTCTATTCAGCAGGCACTCTGGCTATGTTTGGAAGCTCCATTATCCTACCTGACGTCGAGACAAAAGCAGCAGATCATGTCGAAGCGATTCCGACAGTGTGTCTTTCCATGTGAGCGTTTCATCACGGAGGGTGATACCCATGGGATGTACGTCTCATGCCTGGGGATGTCGCATCGGCGGCTGGGCGGCTCTCAAGGGGGCTGCCTGCGACCATTGCGAGGCCCTGCCGCTGAGGGTGCTGAGGTCTTGAGCGGCTCTCTTCCTAGAGGATGGTCGGATGCGCTCCCCTTGTGGCACAGGCCCCGCGGTCGCTGAGGCGGCTCCAAATCCTGGGGATCACAACGAGGGTGCCGGAACGGCTGAGGCCTTTTTCCAGTCCTCGTCCGAGGAATCCTCCTCCCCTCGCCCCCGATCGGGAGCCAGTTTCTCGGTTTCTCCTACTCGAGGGGTGAGTCCGGAGAGGCTGACACAATTTGGCTCTGAGGAGCTAGATGTGCTTAGCATGGAGGAAACGGAACGTCATCAGCCCTCACCAGTATACGAGGAGTTGTTGCACATTGATTGGCCACAGGCGGTGCAGCAGCCATCGGTAGGCAGCAAACTAGATGAGCGGTTTCTGCAACAC